AGAGGTTGTATTTAGTACTGGCCAATAGGGTTTTTCTATATGCGTTAGAAAAGTTGCTTCTGGAAAAAACTGCATGGGATATACGTGACTTTTATTTTTTTTATATAGTAGCTTGAGTCATGCTGCATGGTATATCTGTTTATATTAATCATTATATTGAAAAATTAACTCAAAATAGATATATTTTTTAGGGTTAAGAGTTACCGAGTGGCGAGTGCAAAGTCTTTACATGAATTAGACTTAGGACTTTGAACCGAAAAAGTTTGTGATTTTTTATATTCTTTTGAATTTAAATTTGTAGTTTTAATCTTAATAATTTAGCATAATTTTATATTTAGTTCATAATAATAATAATATGATTCAGTATTTAGAATGAAAAACTTGTGTGATTTGTACGTAATACTATTAGAACCACAAAATAATTTTATATTTTTCCTTCTTACAATCTTTGCTTTGTAGTAAGACCCACACATATGTTGTTATTGCGTTAAAATTAAAACAGTCTAACTGATACATATATATATAGTTTATTCTGATCTTTTGCAAATGGTTCAAACTCAGTAGTGACAACAATAAAACCCATATGTTGGTTGTGAAACAGGCTAAATACATTCATCCCAATAATACAGGGAAGCTATGACATTCTCACAGCTGGGGGTCTCAATACATTCCAACATAAATCTTGCCTGTAATGAGAGGAATGTGACCAGGACTAATCTTTTAAGTGCTGTAAAGTAATTTTCTTTGTAATTTATGGTGTCCATATCGTTTGGTAATCTCTTCTAACAGGATGTATCAAGTAACAAGGGGTCAGGCTCAGGTGGTGTTTACTGAAACCACCTGTACTGTAAACTGTTACACACATTTGTTAGTAGTGACAATTAGTTTTGTCTCTATTCTGAAACAACATACACGGACATACGTTGAAATAAACTTGTTTGAAAGTTCAAAGAAATGATATTCAAGTACCGAAAAGCTTTCTTACTATCATATCTACAGTAACGTTTAAATGCGCACGTGCTCGGTTGAACAAGAGTGACCACCAAAAAGGGTGAGATAGTTTACGGACAACATACAAATTTCACGCTGCCTACCCCACGGTTTATTCGGCACAATAAACACAAAAGTACGACTGCAATGAAACATAAACATAAATTTGAAATAAAAATATATTTATGAAACAAAATTAAAATGTTTTTATGCACATATATAAACATGAAATCCTAGTTAAAAATAAAAATACTCATTTGTTGTTTAGGTTTATTTACAAATATTATTTACGGGTCTGTATATTACTTGAAACCATAAGAAGTATACGTGATTATTAAAAAAATTAAAAATAGATAAAATTTGCATTTTATGGAGGATACAATTTTTTTGGAGATTTCAAAATAATGTACTAAAACATTAAAAGTAATAAGTTCAAATCCGTAGCAAATATAAATATTGTAATCACTTCTTATAAATACGATTTCCTAATGTAAGATATTAAAGATCATAATGTAAAAAAACTAAATTTATTAAAAGTAATAGGCTTTATGTTTCTTAAACTACCTACATTTGTCAAATTATTGATGAATTTTGCGAAAATATTCGTCCACTAGTTTTATTGTTGGAATGAAATATAGCAAGACTTGCATTGCCTACTAAGAAAGTTAGTAGCCGGTAGTCGTCGGGTTAAGGAATGAGTAAGTTGTACTAAGAATAACTTAAGGTCAAAATGAGCTATACAGCAGTGTACAGCACACATGATGATCAGGATCATATCTGTTAATTCCAATGCACTTGTGAAAGGATCTGAACAACATAGTCACAATTATATCTTGATGAAGAGAGCTGCAATCGTGATAGTTGAAGGAATGACTAGCAACAGCCTTTATTCCTGTAAAGCTTAATGTGAAAATTATTGTTCCTTAAGTGGAAAAAGTATTTGCATGACTGAACTGTGGGTATAAATGATGAGACAATCCTATAAGACTTCTAAAATCTTTGAAAGCCTTTCCACTTCAAGTTGATAAACTTCAAAGATAGAACACAAGTTAGAGTGAGCTATCCAATAAGAAAGTCATCAGGAAAAGTCAGCTACTTTTCCAGTGAGCCAGACAGAAGCCTGTGTATGAAGATTTAGTTTTGTAGAAATGCTGGTAGGAAAAGGGGATTCTAGGCTGTTAAAGAAGATGAAGCAGCAATTGGAACAAAATTGGAGGCAATTTTTGTATGTGTGGAAATGAAAGAAACTAAGGATGAGTTGGCCAGAGAAGAATTATAAGCAGAAATGACAATAGAAGATGCCAACCTAGTGATTCACTCAAAGTATGAGTTGCACAGGAGAAAAAAAAGCATACAGAAACAGCTCCATTCCATCTTGGGAAAAAGTATTTAATTTTAAAGTTATACAAAAACTGACAAAACCCACAAATGTCTGAGGAAGAAGA